GACTATTTCATTTCCTCCCAACTTGGATTCACCGTAAACACGATCCACAAATGTTATTGGAACCTAGTTAAAAAAATATATGTTAAGTCAGTCTTCAAAAATATTAGAAAGGAAGCGTAGCAGGCATATAAAAATTACTAATACAACCAAAACAAGATTAGTTCTATGATAGCAATTCCTTTAAATTGAAGCAATTCCTTCAATTCTCACAGCAACTCTGTGCACCTCCTCCAAGTCTTTAAAATTAAACAGGCACTTTATTATCTAAAAATGGGCTATTATCAACCAAATCGACATCTGTTTGAAAGCACTGATCCTGCATATTAAGTTGGTTTACTCAAGTTTGACTGCATTTCAAGGAAAAACTATACTACAAAAGTAAAATAGCCTTCCACTTAATTTTTTCATTAGTCTGTCAAATTTAGCTGTCACTATGTTTTAGTATTAAGTTAAAAATTTTGTAATTTCCACAAGAGACGTGGCATTCTAGTTAGCTACTTCCTGCTCTGAGAAAGAGTCTTAGTGTTAAACAAGGAGAGTATTCCCTAAGAGTTCACAAGCTAGCTGTAAATATTACAGACCCTTATCTCCTCCCCCGCGCTATTCCTGTGCTTTTCGTTTACTCATAGGAAATGGGCAATGGAACTCAGCATTCACTTTTAAGTTGGATGGGTGTGGACTATGGCAAGAGGAAAAGCAGTGAATACACTCATCCCAGAATGCTGAGTGGTCAGAAGAAAGGGCAAGGATGGAGAAAATACCAGTAACTTTTAATTATTTAAAAGGGAATGCTGCCTTTCTGTTAATCTTGGTAGGTCAAATGTATTGCCGTGAAAGGGATGTGAATTTTCACCCATTAGCGCATGGGCATTCCCAACAGCTGGAAGCCTTTCACATTTATTTGGTAGTTATGAAAATTAAACTTTTTACAATGAAAAGTCTAAACCTTATTATTTATGAGGACTACAATATACTATTTACAATTAATTGCATACCTCGCCAATAGTATAATTCAACTGTCTTGCTCGAACAATCATTTCCATCTGGAAAACGTAGCCTTTAGAAACACATTTTTCTATTAATTTCTGTAGAACTTCTTTTCGATATAACCTGTATGAAATTTAAAAATATATATAAACACCTAGATAAATACACTTGTCTACATGCATCCTGACCTTTCAAAAAGTTCACTGGTGCTCTAGCTGGTTTGGCCTGTGGACCGAAGGGTCCTGGGTTCGATTCCGGTTAAGGGCATGTACCTTGGTTGCAGGTTCCTCCCCAGCCCGGGCCCTGGTCGGGGCTCATGCAGGAGGCCACCAATTGATGTGCTTCTCTCACATTGATATTTCTCTCTGTCTTTCCCTCTCTCTTTCACTTTCTCTAAAAATCGATGGAAAATAGCCTCAGGTGAGGATTAAATTAAAACAAAAAGTTCACTGGTATTTTTAAAACCTAAAAATTTTACTAGTCATCCTATATAGTAAAAGCATAGTATGCAATTTGTCCCCTCGACCAGAGTTCTTCCAGGAGTTCGACCAAGGGGTGGGCCGGCAGGGGGAAGGGAGGGAGGCCCCGGCTAGCCGCTAGGGACCCTACCAGTGCACGAATAACAGTTGATATACATTTGTCCTGAAACAAACAGAAGGGTCATGAAATATCTTGTAAATAATTTAGAAAATGAATTCTTAATATCTTTTAGAGAATTATTTTCCTACCATACTATCAGAAATTATAAAAATATAGTAAAGTAAATCATTCAAAGTAGAACCACCTATTGTTTTTAACTCTTAAAATTAATTTTTAAAGTGGAAAGAGTAGAAATTGTTCCCAAAGTTGGAACAATAGAGTTGACAGATGATGAAGCAACAATATAAACTAGATGACAAGAAAGACTCTAGTAATTAACAGGGATTTCCTCATAAATGTTTATGATGAGCTTCTATTTCTGGAGATCTACTAAATAAATTTCCCGGGATACACTAAACCCTCCAGGATTAGGTTGGTTAAGTTAGGTTAAGACAGGAACTGGGAGGCAATCCTGGTTGGACACAGCTATCACCAGTCAGATGTCACAGTTAGATACTTATAATGGGGGAATGAATGTGCAGTCTAACTGTAGTGGACTGCAGGCTAGACACAGAGCTCATCAGATTTACAAAGCAAGACAGGAGCAGGGAAGTCCTGTGCTTGAACCCAATCAGGAGCTCCCTGTTATCAGTCTCTTAGGTAAACAAACAAGCAAACAAACAAAACCACCAGTCTCAATAAGAAGGCAGCAATTTCTCTTTTTTGGGAGCAAGTTAGGAGAGGCAGTTTGGCATAACTTTGTTCTCTTCCCAGTTAAAGGCCACCTGGATTTACAATGCCTGAGGGTAACCCATATTCACCTTTTTCTCAGGCTCCCTCTAGGGAACCCTATCTTTTTTGGCTTTTCAAGCTTTTAAGTGGATATTAAATGACAGAGAGAGGAACCTGAGAATGACTAGTTTGTGCACTCTTGTACCCACACAGGTCCCATAAGAATTCAAAGTATAAGCTTGGAATAAATCTAAAGTGAGGAGAAATGGATGGTAGAATATTTAGTCAATAAGTATTTACTAAGCAACCTACTGCGTTTAAGGCTCCTTTTTATGTTTTAGAATTTTAGCAGTAGAAACTAAATAAATTTATCACATAAAGTTAATTAAATAGGGGAGGGAGATTGGGATTATGGGAAAGACTATGATCATGATGGGATATTTCAGCATCACATTTTAAACTGGGTTTTGGCTAGGAATTCTGCCCCTTTAAGTCATTTTATTCCTCATAAAGAGTTATTTTGTAAGACATTTATTTCTCTTTATTGCCACCCCTTCTCCACCACAGTAGCTTTTAAACTATGGCTAATGATGTAACACTGCATACATGAAGCCATGAGCCAATAAATAGGATAATTAGGATCCAAGTGGTCTTCGCTATTAAATGGCTTTACATCAGACTGCAGTCTTTCTGGGTTCCCTTTTATTTGGTAAAAGACACATGCCTCCTCAATACTAGGAACTTCATCTAATGAGAAGTTGAACTTTAATAAGACATGTATTTAATAAATCACTACCTTATGAAGGGACAATGAGCTCTAATGATTTAAAAGTAGTGAAATCAACAGGCTCACTTTTGCGTGTGTGGCTGTTCTGATATTTGCACAGAATACACTCAATCACTGCTCTCTCTAAAAGGACACCCAGAGTTCACCCCCTCCTCTATTCCCTACATGGTCTGGTGGCAATGAGATGTTGCCACCCAATCCTCTCTCTGCTGTGTTTTTCTTCACAACTGGGTCCCCATGTGATGCTGCAAGTCTCATGTCATTAGAATGTATAAACATGAGGACAGTGCTTGGCATGCAATAAATGTTTGCTGAATCTAAAATGAATCACCTTTTAGCTTTTTTGAAAGCACCTGCAGAGCATTCAATAGGGGAACTAGTCCAAAAAACAAAGCCCCTACCTATCTCCACGACCCATGGAGCCACCCTGGATCTTCGATCAGTCATCATGCCTATGGCCTGTAAAGTCCACATTGGCCATTCTGTCCTCACAGAGATTTTGCAAGTGCCACTACTCTTTGCATTGTTGCTACATGGAATCAGTGATCTTAATCAGATAACACATTATTCCTTTGCCTTGAAATGTGGAACAAAAGGGATACATTTACAGGGATACATCTGTCTTTTACACACCAAATTCTGCTTTCTAACCAATTTACATTTTAATTCTAAAGAGGCTTCATTTTCAATATTTGGCCTCTAATTTGTGATGTCTCCTCTCTTCATTTTTTGGGGGGAAGTGGCAGACGGGGAGAGGGCAGTTGCCTGTGGCTCATAAACAATCTCATTTTACCCAATAAAGACATTAAAAAAATTTTTCTTTACTTTTGACCCTCTTATAGTGTCTCTGAACTGCTATTCAAGACTTACAGTTATACTACAGGTACTAATTATTAATGGTCAGCTCCTAATTTTTGTGTGTGAATTCTAATGAAGAATCAAAAATCAACATTATTTAATGGAAAAAGTAAATATCAAGTAATACAAAGTATTAACAAATACATGGGGTTTGGGCTTTAATGAAAATGAACAGGCATTTTATAGTTTTGATAACAAATATCTGGCAGGCTTTAATCATTTGGCATGGTCATATAGTAGTTCATCTACTGTAGCAGTTCTAAAATTAAACACATACACCACTCCCTCCCAAGAAAAACAAAAATAAAAAAATACAGGGACCCAGCAGGAGGCTTTGTACCAATTAAATAAGAATTTTTTATAAAAAACATAATGGAGAACAAGGTAACTGAAAAGACTCTACATAAATAAGGTTTTAAACTTTTCTGTGGACAATGCTACAAATATTTATATAAATTGCAGAAAATTCCTGGAAGAGGTGCTGTTCTCTGGAGCATATTACCAGTAATAGCAATGTTTAGAATGAGTAGTGAGTGGTCACTTTGGGCACCCCAGAGGGCACTCCTATGGACAGAATATTAATGTTAATATTGACAAGCACACTAACTTGAGCCCTGCCTTAGATGCTCTTTAAAAAGCACAATATTTTTCAAGACATGTAGGCTTCATTAGCAGCTTCTAAGGAAGTACAGTCTGCCTTTTTAGAGTCCCAGGACAAAAACAGGGAAGAAATGCAAAACATTTTTAAAAAATAAGTCATTGTGCCCAGCAGTTGAGTGTCTACCCAGGCACCAAGAGGTCACCAGTTCGATTCCCAATCAGGGCACATGCCCAGGTTGTGGGCTAGATCCCCAATAGGGGGTATGCAGGAGGCAGCAGATCAATGATGTTTCTCTCTTCTCATCGATCTGTCTATCTCTCTATCCCTCTCCCTCTCTCTCTAAAAACAAAAAATCAATAAAAACATATTTAAAAATAAAATAAGCCATTGTAAAGCAAGAAATTTAGGCAAACAGTTATAAGCCGTAGAAATATAAAATTACAGGTTTTCACTGTACCTGAAACTTCCTGTTAAATCAGATGCTCCTGGTCTCAGCAAAATCTGAGTTACAAAATTGGCCCCACGGCTGTCAAATAAAACAATCAGATTTTCTTTATAAAATACTTTCTAAGCAAGAGAAACACATCCAAGAGTACTAAAACTGCTATCCTAATTTCATAAATAAATGCAACACTACTTCACAAAAATATTAATTCTATAGAACAAATAAATTTTTAGTCAGTGCAAGGAGATCTGATGTTTCTCAATTTTCAGAAAATAGGAACATTTGGAGGGAACCTATAAAGCAATCACTCTTTTAAACTTTAGGTATGAATGATAGGTTTTTAACTTGTGTATTTGCCAGCAGCCATTTAGAATTTCAAACAGCTGTCAGCTAGCAAGCGATCAAGGATCTGGAGTTTCCTTTTCAGATTCTAATAAGCACAAAGGAAGAGTGGGTTCAACTAGGTAATAGGTCAGTCTGCATAAAAATGCTTTTTTCAAAAAAAATGAAGGTGTGTAAGTGGAAGAGGGCTTTGGTTTTTGGCAATCTCTGGAAATTGTCCAAGGTTCAATCCGAGACTATCTTAGTCTGCTTGGGCTGCTATAACAAAATACCACATTACTGGAAGCTAGGAAGTCCAAGGAAGTGAAACCTCTTCCTGGCTTACAGATGGCTGTCATCTTGCAGTGTGCTCACACAGGGAAGGGGGGGAGGTCCAAGCTTTCCTCTTTTCTTCAGAGAGCACTAATCCTACCATGAATGCCCCACACTGAAGACCCCATTTACACCTAATTACCCCCCAGAGGCCCCACCTCCAAATACCAACACTTACAGGGTAAGGTACTCTAACATGAATTTTAGCAGACACACTGAGTCCATAACAATGACTTTAGGGCACTGCTTCAAACACATCTAAGAATCAATTACAAGCTATTACTGACTAACAGCTATTATTAACATTTCAAAAAGATGTGTGAAGAGCTCCTGAAAAAAGTGACTTTTGTACTGCAGCTATTTTATTGTGCTCATATTAAAAAAAAACTTTTCTGGGCAGCCTGGAGATAAGTTTCCACAGCCAAGGTAACCACCAAGGTCCTCTCATGGAAAGATTATTTTTATATAAATAACACAGGGGCCCAGCCGACATAGCTCAGTGGTTGCACATCGACCCATGAACCGGAGGTCACAGTTCAATTCTAGGTCACGGCGCATGCCAGGCTGAGGGCTAGATCCCCAAGTGGGGATGGGGGGGGAGGGAAAGCATGCAGGAGGCAGCCACTGATGATTCTCCATAATCACTGATATCTCTCCCTCTTCTCTTCCTCTCTATGAAATCAATAAAAACATATTTCAAAAAAATATAACACAGGAATATAGCTGGGATAATGGCTAACAAAAACATTTCCCCCACCCCCCTTGTTTTAAAAGCAACAGCAACAAAAATTCCAGGGCATAGTCCCCACCTCCCCCACTATGTGTGTAATCAAAGAAATTTAAGTATATGTATCTATATTGTGTGTGTGTGTGTATCTGCATATATTTAAGGTAATGTATTTTTTAAATAGGAGTCTCTTAAAGTACAGCAAGAGTCAGACAGAATTTGGGTTCAAATTCTGGTTCTGGACCATATAAATGAGACTTAGCACAAGTGATAACAATCTTTTCAGGAGTTTATACTTTAAGTCAGCTCAGACATGAACAACTAATGACATTTACAACTAAATGATTCAACTAAAAGCTATGAACTGTCTCTGATTGGGACTCCCTAATTTTAAGAACAGTTTTAATGACTGAAATCAGAGAGGTCTGAGAGATCGCTGTTGGTCTCAACCTTGTCTGCAGTATAATCACCTGGGAAGCCTGTGGAAAATACTGATGCTTTGGCCCCACCTATGAGAGCTATTCAAACGGTCTGCATTGTGTGTGGGCAAGCGAAAGGGAGGATGAATAGGGAGCAGTTGTGTGTAATTTTCTCCTTACATGATTCCAATATTTAGCAGGATTGAAAACCACTGTTTTATCCAACCCCTTCATTTCTCTGAAGATTGAGGCATTTACATGTTTTAAATGACTTGCCCAAGATTCACAGTTAAGAGGCAAACTTGAGATTAAAAGAATCTTCAACAGGAATGAAGTAGGTGATAAAAAAAATACTAATGGCCAAAAATATTTTGCGGGTCTTCCATTCTATTTCTGCGCCCCTTGGTTATGGGCTTGCCTTGACCAAGAATTAGCCCCAAAACCTAGGACTCAAGAAGCCTTATGGCTGCAACCTTGGTACTGTTGGACACGTCCTTAGGACACCATGTAAAGAAGCTGGTCTAGCTTTCCAGAAGGTGAGGGGCCACATGCAGAACTGAGATGTCCCAGACAACAACCATCATCAACTACTGGATGGATGAATGAGGCCACTTGGATCTTCTAGCATAGTTGCCTCTCCAGCTGAAGGAAGCTGCATGAATGAGCCCAGGTGAAGCCAGCACAGGACCCACCACCAGCCAATCCACAGAACCAGAAGAAATAATGTCGTTGTTTTACGTCACTAAGCTTTGGGATGGTCTGTTATACAGCAGCAGAAAACTGAAACAGGTTTCATTCCATTTCATGATGAGGAAAGTAAAGCTTAGGGAAGGTAAAACATGCAAGGTGACAGGTAATGAAGTGATGTAGTCAGGATTTTAACCCAGGTCTGACTCCAAAGCCTCACTACTTTATGCTGCTTTAAAAAAGTTGAAATAATTGTCTTATTTACTTAAAACGATAAAAAATATATATGGAGAACTACCTTAGTAGTCCCAAAATATAGATGAATAGTTCACTTAAAATCAAAGCTGAAGGTCCAGAGAATAAATTTGTGCTGAATCATACCATTTTTACCAAAGGTTCAAAGGTTTATGTTGATTTTCCTTAGTGAAAAATACCCCAAATAAGATACTCTAATCATAGGAAAAATTGTAGGTAAGAAGTTATCTGGAAATATTTATTGAAAGTTAATACTCTGATCCCACCAATACCAAGGCAGTATGGTAATTTAACCTAAATACCTGTTATAAACATATTTATAGGAGTTACACTAAAAAAAAACCAGTAATCATAACACATGTATATACCTGATTAATTTTCTTTTCAAATCCCAGCCATAAACACCTCCATTTCCTTTGTAGCGAGTTCCAGAGACAATGTCAAAATTACCTTCCTTTTGCTTCCTGTAGAACAAATAAATTAGCTGTCAATTAGAGAAAGCTACTGGGATTTCAATAGTTATTTTCAAGTTTCCTGTGGCATGTTTCATTCCATGTATATATGCAGTTCCTAGTCCCAACTTTTTCTCCCGTGGTCTTAGAAGAATTTTGTCTGATCCATAGATCTTCTCCAACTGTTCAGCAACCTCCCTTGTTCCATCTGGGCTCCCATCATCTATGATTATAATTTCATAGTCGATTCCACTCTCGGAGAAGCTTTTCACCAGCAGCCACACGATGAGCGGCAGGTTCTCGCGCTCGTTGTAGGTGGGCAACAGCACCGAGTACTTGTCCCGTCCCGGGGCGCGCCCCGCCGGCTCCCGACGAGACCTCGGAGGGGTACGATTCGCTCAAGAGCATTTAATTTTCACCTGGTTTACATTAAAATCAAGACAAGGAAAGCATACAGTTCTTTGTTCAATATATGAAAGTGTTGACAGGGTTCTATGATCTTCACCTGAGCAACTTGCTTTTTGTCAATTAATACACATCATGGAATCATGGATATCCCTACAAAGTTGACAAAGAATTTCCCCATTCTTTGTTATTGTTAATCCTCACCCAGGGATATTTTTTCCATTGTTTTTTAGAGGTTGGAAGGGAGGAAAGGATGGGGAGAGAAAAAGAGAAACATGTGAGAGAGACACATCGATTGGTTGCCTCCTGCACACGCCCCAACTAGGGCCAAGGATTAGGTACATGCCCTTGACCAGGAATCAAATCCGAGACTCTTTGGTGCTCAGGCCGACACTTTAACCACTGACTCCCATGGGCCAGGGTCTCCAATCTTCTTAATAGCTGCAAAAATATTTAATAGAATATTTAACCTGTATTCTCATATGATTGTTTCCATGATGGGTGCCCCGATTTCCAAGAGCACAAGCACAATGAATAGTATAGCCTGCTGCTCAGACTACCCAAAGTAGAACATAATGGAACGGCTAAAACAATCCTAACAGATCTCACCATAGAAATTACTTTCCAAAAACGTAGCAACTCACTTCTTCCTGCAATATTTGAGTGTGCTCATTTTCTACAGTCTTATTGGTGCTGGATGTATTGCTGAATTAAGTTTTTAAGTTTAATAAACTTATGGGTAATAACAACATAGTTAATTATTTTATTTTTTTAATTATATTTTCATTGATTTCAGAGAGGAAAGGAGAGGGAGAGAAAAATAGAAACATCAATGATGATGCACGCCTCTCTCCCGGGATTGGTGCCCTGACTGGGAATTGAAACGTGACCTCCTAGTTCAGAGGTCAACACTCAACCACTGAGCCACATGGGTCAGGCTGCAGTTATTTAATTTGCAACTCTGACTACATCCTAGGGTGACTATCTTCTTAGGTTTATTAGCCATTTGAATTTCTTTTACATTATGGCCTGTTTGTACCTTTCCTGTTTGCTACTCCACTATTTCTATTTCTTTATCAAGTCAAAGGGGCTTTGTGTATTGGAGATATAAGCAGAGATGGTATCTCTGAGGTGATTCAATGCAGAGATCAAAGGATGGGAAATTATTGGCCACTAAGGAGCAGGCAAAGAGCACTGCAGGCAAAGGGAACATGGCAGTGTGTGAGCGCAGAAACGGAAGGAGTATGCCTGCAGTACAAAGAGCAAAGGGGAGAGGCACAAGGTAAGTTCAGAAAGGGAGGCAGGGACCAGATCACACAGCAGTTTGAGGGACAAAAAAACCCCCAAAAACCTGTGGATTTTCCCCGCTGTGTTATATTTTATACTAAATTCTTGCCTAAAAATACTACTTAAAATATTCATGCTTAATGTTAGCTGGTTTGCCTAGTTTGACGAATTAGAAATGATTCCACATTTCACCATTTTGTAAAACATTTGTATTACGACTGGGTTTTCTTTATCATGTTTAAGTGGTTTCCTTCCATTTGTACTTTCTAAAGTTTTTATTAGAAATGGCTGGTGAATTTGATCAAACAACTTTTATCATCTACAGACTTAATCACGCTATTTTTTTGTTGTTAATGTTATAAATTATGTTGACGAATTCCTGAAGATGAACCACTCTAGCATTCCTGAATAAACCTTATTTGTTCATGGGGTTTCACCCTTATGATCCAGGGCTTAATTCCATTTAACAGGAAGTCACCTACTAGCTTTTTCTGTAGTCTGGAATAATCTAGATAACAAAGGAATTATCTGTTGATCAGTTCCTCAGGGCTCCTAAAACACATCATTTAGTCACATACTATATACTCATGAGTCTCAAACCTATATGTTGGTTTTATTTTTGATAGCTAACAAAATAGCATGTTCATTTTTCAATTAATAAAGAATGAAAAACAAAAATAAGTCCACAATCAATGTAAGATAAATGATTTGAATCGTGTATTTTTTTCAAATATTAGAATTACCTACCTAATGAATTCAGGAATAAATTTTGGCTGAAATTTAGAAAGAATAAACAGTAAGTCAGTAAAATAGGCTAAGGCAATCATAAATCACTATTAAAGAAATATGCCACTTACATGGTGTGAGAGATCAGCATCCATAATAATTATGTAGTTTCCTGTGGCATGTTTCATTCCATGTATATATGCAGTTCCTAAAAATGAAAATATTTATCTCCATTAAAGAAAATCACCGGAAATGCTTACGTTTACAACATCTGAACAGAGAAGCAATTGTTAAGCACTGAAAAGCATACATTAGTCCTCTAAAGATGATCCTGATCTAGTATAATTAAATATTATTTATTCTCAATGCAAAACATCTCTCAATTCCATTCTTTATCTTGAACTTCACATTAGTCCGAGGTACCATCTTCTGATGACTCCTCCTTACCAAGCTTCCCTGCTTCTAATCTTCTCATCTTCCCATTTCCACAAAAAACTTCCTTTGTCAGTGTCTTCTACACTGTAGGAAGCCTGGTACAATAGAGCCCTGCTCTGGTATTTGGGGCCAAAGGCACAGCTAGCAAATACTTAGCATCTTTAGGCCTAAAAATTCCTCAGGGACTTGGCAGGTAAGGTAACTGATTGGGAGCAGGATTTGGGGATCCCTGCATTCTCTGGCCCCAAACGACCACTGTCTTACTAGCAAAGCTGATCTTTTCTAACTTCTTGTTAAGAAGTGACTATCACAGCTTTTTGGATATACCACTGGCTGGTGAGTAATTCTGGTTGCTTTCATGGCAGTGTGCAGATTATTTCAATCCCAAACAACTTTCTGAATCAGATATTCAGAACATTTAATGAAGCCAGTTAACTAATAGTTGCAGAATAACAGACATTCAATTTTTCAAACTGTGTTTCTCCAATTTTTCAGTAAAATTATACCAATTCTTTACATAAGCAATGATGACTAACAACAGAAATGAAGGCATTTAGATCTTCATCCCAGAATGACTGAGCTCATCTGAGATTTTAACTGTTTAAAAGCTAAGAAAGATTTATTTTTAAAAATAAGTACCTTTTTAAAACGTATGACTTAAAGAAACGTTCAAAGGTTTATAGCTAAGGCAGTGTGCTGGTCCAGTATGTTTGCTCTCAGATCCCTTCTCTGGCCTTTCCCTATATTGCAAGGAACTTATTTCCCAGGTTGGCTTGTCAACTGGCTTCCAAACAGCTTTGAGAGGCAGAGGAGAGAAGGGAAGGTCAAGTGGCCTCCCTCTCTTACTCTGCCTCCCTGCATTGACTGCTATCCTCAATGACTCCAACTCCTGCCGGGTATCACCGACTTCATCATTCTAGCCCACTCTGGGCAGCCTGGGTTGCTGCTCCATCTTGGGGGGGTAGAAACCTCCAGCTATTACTAATCCCTGAGTAGCTTCACTATTCCATTTGGCTTCTCAGCAATTCCTTCACCTGTGTAACCAGGTTCTCTATATTAAATTCCTTATATTTAAAAACTTGTGGTAGTTCTGTTTTCCCAAGTGGACCAAGACTGATACAGGCAACTCAAACCATTTAAATGTCATTAAGATCATTAAAAATCATTATAGGGGGTTACTGTATTTTGGCCTTGTTCCAAACAAAATACATACTGAACAATCTGCCAAGTCAAAAAGCAGGTGATGGGTGAGAGGTTCTACTTACCTAGTCCCAACTTTTTCTCCCGTGGTCTTAGAAGCTGTAAGAATAAGAAAGGACACTTTGACACAAATAATAAAAAACCTAACTACTAAAAACTCTTTTTTATTCATATAAGTTCTACTCATTTTAACAAAAACATAGCTATATTTTTAAAATCTTAGAGCAGAGTACGTTTAACAATTTTTTTTGCCAAAAAAAAAAAGCAGTTAGCCAACAAATCAAATAGTATAACAACTTTTAAGGAAAACCAACATTTTTTCTTACCCCTTCCTCACAATAAAAGCCAAATTTTATACTTTTTGTTTTTCTGGTGCTTGGAAACGATGTGAACAATGTTTTATATCTATCTCTTAATTTATCATTTTAAACTATCTATTGATTACTTCCAAGGAAACTGCAGGTCTAACTCATTTATTCTATACCTTTTTGGAATATTTGGTAGCCAGATTTGTTTTTTTCAATTCCCTTTGTGATTTTAAATGCTGCTATTATTCTTCCTCCAACAACTTATCTTACCTTTATGCTTGGATAACCTCATCTCATTCTCTACTGGCCCAACGACAAGGAGGTTTTCTTACAGCCTGTCAATTACTTAGTCTTTCTACATTTTGTGCTTCATATACAGACGCTGTGACTCAATTGCTTTTCATCTTATCTGAAAACTTTTGGAAGGTAGGATGCCAAGTTTTGGATTCTGTTCTAAGTTTCTTAGATACAGGGCTCAGGTAGACACACACCTGAGCGCATCTTGTTCCCTGCTGCATTTGCCAGTGTATCGGCCGGTTGCCTCAGAGTGTGAATCTCTAAACAAAGTACTTTCAGTTCCAGTCACCCAGGACAGGTTAATTTTATTTTTTACTACATGCATGCTGCTCTAGGTCTTGGGGAGGAACAAAGATAGATAAAATACATTCCTGCCCGATGAGCTCTTAAACAGAGAACAAGACAATCATCTATAATAATTACAATTCACTGAACAAAATCAAACAAGGTATGTCAGGTTTTATTTGATTTTTGTGACAGTTACTGACAAAATACTGAGCCCATCTGATCTCGGCCCTTAAAAAGCCAATCTTTTAAAGCTCTTGTGAATAATCCTGTATTTCAGCTGGAAAAACTCTTTGTTTCAGATAAAAAATAATTTTGTCATTTATAAGTTTCAGATTATTCAAAAGTTCATGCAAACTATAAACCATGTTGCATATGACAGAATACTATGGAGCAGTTAACAGAATGAGATCATTTGGTGACATAATGATATAGTAAAAAAGTAACTATGATACAGAAAGGTTGCATTCATATTTAAAAACAAAAAATACCAGCATAATACCTAGTTCTAAGATGTGGACTCATACACATATATGCACAAAAAGGCAACACACACCAAACTATTGACTGAGTTTGACCCTGGGGAAGAGACTGGGAAGCAGATCAGGAAATGCACCTCAAAGGCAACTTCAGTTTTATAGGTAATATTTACATTTTATACCAAGAATGTACTTGATATTTCTTACATAAGGAAAAGTACAAATTGTTTCATTTAGTGTGCTTAACTTTTAGACCCTGAATTATACTCCTTTTTGATCTGCTAATTAGCTGTGTAATCTGGGCAGTAAAGGGCACGATAGAGCTCACCTTTCGGGGGTCATGAGAGCAAGCAGTGAATTCACAGGTTGCTAGGCACAGACTCTCTGAAGTATACTTACAACACAACTGCTTATGAACTACTTCATGTGATACTATAATCTGCTTGACAAAAAACTTATTTTGTAAAGGTTTTATCATAGAAAATCTTGATGACACTTCAGACAAACTATCAATTTGTACTAGAATCAAAAGTATTTGAGTGAACCTGTTACCATACTCTTGAAATCAATGGGTTGAAGAGAAAAAATAAAAATACAGCTTCAGCTATGAAAGGTTAACTGTACTCTCCTCCTACTTTGCAATTCTTTACTAATCATTGAGGCTCATTTTTCCCATTATTTGCCATGTGTAGTTCTTGTTTCATGAATTATCTGTTTTTGTACATTTGATTGGGATACTGATCTTTTTGTTAGAGATAATTTGGTATTTGGGATGAACAAAATATTTTATTATATTAGTCAAATCTCTTGGTCCTATAGTTATGTTTCATGTTTTAAAAGTAATGAACACATCATATCTTATTGTACATATGTAGATGTGAAAAACCATCTCCACCTTTTTGTTCTTTTTTGCTGTAGCCTTTGACCAACCTCACTGTACTTAAGCAGCATATCAAAGCCTTCTAGTCAATGATGATCTGTGTTCCATAAAATGTAACCATAAATACTGTTAGTAATGGCCAGGAAGACAAGCAAGATGACTATCAAACTGGTAACAGTATCAACCACCAGTATGGCCCCTGGTGCTACTGCATTCTTTGTCCCTTTGTCTTTTCAATCATTAGTACCTGAGTTATAGTAGCAGAGAACAATTTGTCTTTTCAATCATTAGTACCTGAGTTATAGTAGCACAAATTGCACAAAACTGCTGGGCTGATCTGCCACAGATTTTTAAAAAAATATATTTTATTGATTTTTTACAGAGAGGAAGGGAGAGGGATAGAGTTAGAAACATCGATGAGAGAGAAACATCGATCAGCTGCTTTCTGCATACTCCCCGCTGCCTTCTGCACACTCCCCACTGGGGATATGCCCGCAACCAAGGTACATGCCCTTGACCGGAATCAAACCTGGGACCCTTCAGGCCACAGGCCAACGCTCTATCCACTGAGCCAAACCAGCCAGGGCCTGCCACAGATTTTTATCTGATTTCAGGTTAGGGGAGGAAACAAACCTCACATATCAAACATGACAGAAGCATTCAAACACAGAAAGGTTGAAGTCCTCCACAATCTCCCTGCCCTGTAACAGTTCAGGACACGTGTCTCCAACTTTTCTATCATCCCATCTCTGCCATTTATTAGTTAGCTGTGCAATCTTGGGAAGTGAATTAACCCTCATCTGTTTCTTCAACTACAGAGCTAAAAAAAAAATCTTCCTCAGCTTTCTCCTGAAGCATTCATTTCAACTAGTCCGAAAGGCTAGCTTGGATAAAGCATCTGGGCTAAATCACTTTACCTGAGAAAAATAACCGTTTTTATCCATCTTTCCCCTCAACTAAACATTCATACATCACTTAAAGCAAGTAAGTGCCACCCCTGGCAAGGCCTGACACTGAAAAAAGAAATGTTCTAGTTTAAATAATTTAAAGGTCATAAAATAATGAACAGGGGATTTCCCTGGTACAACATGGAAATTGTGATAATAGAGGCTAATTTTCTTATGAACTTGAATTTTATTTTGTTGATGGGAAAAATGGAATGCTTTGAGGAATAGTGTTGTTTTAGAATTTGTGAATGTCAATTTAGTAGGCAATCCCTAAAATCAATCAATCAGTTAGACCTCAAGGCTGAGCTTCTATGACATATGTATTCAAAATATTGCTAGGTTGATGTCCCCAGATTAAATAGCAGCACATAACTCAGTGTTCTATATATAATGTGTGCATCAGTGGCCATGGCCCAGAACTTCTGAAAGAGAAACAGGGGAACTCTTGTTCCTATGAACCTACCATCATCACTGGAAGTCACTGCTAGAGGCTCAAGACCTGTCAACTTTCTGTACTCTTATGCAACAGGAGATATTCAACGAGGACTGGAAAGTGACAGATCTGTGAGTTGCTACTCTGTGAGACAGACAGAAAGAATCTCTAGTATAGGAAAGATTACCAGGTATATAAGAGTAACACATTTCCCTTAAACTCTTCCCACCAACAAAGATCTCCTCCAACTAAATAGAAATTATTTCATTATTTAGATTAGTCAAGAATATTTGGATCCAGTGACTATTTTTATGATGTTGATGGCCATTTCTTGAAATGTAAATAATCAATAAAGGCTTTCCAAGAGACTTATGTTTATGCCAAATGGTTCTTTGTTGGGAAGAGGGGGCAATTTTGCCCATAAAGGGACATCTGACAATATCCCGAGATATTTTTGGTTACCACATTGGGAAGGGGGTAGTTACTGGTATCTAGTGGCTAGAGACCAGGAATGATGTTAAACATGCCACAACATACAGGACAGCCTCTCACAGCAAAGACTTATTGGTCCCAGATGTCAACAGTGCCAAGATGGGGAAACTCTTACAATACCCAATGCCTATAATGTATTTTCTAAATCCAAACCAGTGACCAAAAATAAAATGTATGAGGCCATTATAAAATGAACTCTACATCTGCCTAAGTTACTCCCACAGAAGAGCAGGCTTCAAGGTACAGTAGAAAAATCTAAAGTTTAAGACTCAGAAAGTCAACCTACTCTCACAAGACTGTTCTACAGATAAAAATAAAAATAAAAATGCCAAGTACTCTGAAAAGCCATTTCTGTTTCACATGAAAATAGTCACCTTTCTCAGTTATAAACTTTTAGCTGCAGGCAGTATTTCCTTTTGAAAGTATGAGAACACCTAGAGAAAGAGAGCAAGAAAGATCAAGTCCCACATTACCAACTGCAACCTTGTTCTATAATATTCCTTGTCAATTCAATATCATGCTTTAATTTTGTCCTTCAAGAAAACTTACCTACAGAATCAGTTATAAAAACAGAGTTCAGCTCTAACTGGTTTGGCTCAGTGGATAGAGCGTCGGCCTGTGGACTGAAAGGTCCCAGGTTCGATTCCGGTCAAGGGCATGTACCTTGGTTGCAGGCACATCCCCAGTAGGAGGTGTGCAGGAGGCAGCTGATCGAGGTTTCTCTCTCATCGATGTTTCTAGCTCTCTATCCCTCTCCCTTCCTCTCTGTAAAAAATCAATAAAATATATTTAAAAACAAAACAAAACAGAGTTCATCCAAAGACTCACTATTTTGCTGTAAAACTACTGATCAACATATCAAAAAGATGTAAAACTTCACGCTGACCAGTTTGGCTCAGTGGATAGAGCGTCAGCCTGCGGACTGAAGGGTTCCAGGTTTGATTCCGGTCAAGGGCATGTACCTTGGTTGCAGGCACATCCCCAGTAGGGGGTGTGCAGGAGGCAGCTGATCAGTGTTTCTGTCTCATCGATGATTCTAACTATCCCTCTCCCTTCCTCTGTGTAAAAAATCAATAAAATATATATTTTTTAAAAAAGATGTAAAACTTCAAACACAATGAAAATGCATCTAAATGCCAAAAAGTGTTTTTTATTTTTTCAGTTTCTAGACAGATTGAATTTAAACACTGTTCATCTCTCCTTTTTCCCCTACAAAAACACAACTGAAAAGATAGAAAAATATTCACACAACTTACAATTTTGTCTGATCCATAGATCTTCTCCAACTGTTCAGCAACCTCCCTTGTTCCATCTGGGCTCCCATCATCTATGATTATAATTTCATAGTCGATTCCACTAAAATAAGAAAATTAAATTTGTATTGTTTGAATATAGTATTATAACAAAAATAATAGTTTTAAAATTACTAATTCTTTTCTTTTTTTAAAAAAATATATTTTATTGATTTTTTACAGAGAGGAAGGGAGAGGGATAGAGAGTTAGAAACATCGATGAGAGAGAAACATCGATCAGCTGCCTCCTGTACACCCCCTACTGGGGATGTGCCCACAACCAAGGTACATGCCCTTGACCGGAATCGAACCTGGGACCTTTCAGTCCACAGGCCGACGCTCTATCCACTGAGCCAAACCGGCTACGGCTAAAATTACTAATTCTTAACCAGTAGTGGAAATTTATTGTCATAGTAATCACTAAGGAAAACTTCAATTATCAAATGAAATGTCAAATATTCAGTACTTCACCTCCAAACTCAACATGTTGCTGAAAAGTGTTATTATAAAGTCCTACGATGTTAAAAAATTCTCTCACAGAAAACATTAAAAAAAAATAGTGAGCTCAGCAAGTGTGGGTCAACGGTTGAGTGTTGACCCATGCACCAAGATGTCATGGGTTTGATTTCTGGTAGGGGCACATGCCCAGGTTTCAGGCTCAATCCCCAGTGGGGGACGTGTGGGAGGCAGCCTACTGATATTTCTCTTTCACTGATGTTTCTAATCTCTCTAAAAAAACCACATATTTCTTTAAAAAAACCCGTGATTTATATGTATATTTATATGTGACAGTATATCATATGAAGTTTTATTTACTTTGGCAATAGAATTGTGGAACCTTAATATCAAATAGTTTATTAACTATTTCAAAAGTATATTTAATAGATAGCTCAAATTGATTGCATAGCTCTGGGTGATTATTTAAAATTTAATCCCAAATGATTTTAAGAACATAATCAGGAATAAATCCAACTTAATTTCACCCTTTAAAAAACCTCCTTCAGAATGGCAACATAATATTTTACACCTCTATTTCAATAGTTGTACACATTATCCTACACTAGCAAATAAAAGGAAATAGCACAGAATAACAAAATATTTCAATATCCGCCCTGGCTGACGTGCTCAGGGGTTAGAGCATTGGCCCACATACAGAAGGGTCTCATGTTTGATCCCTACCCCAGTTGGGGTGTGTGCAGGAGGCAACCAGTCAACGTGTCTCTCCCACACTGATGTTTCTCTCTCTCCCACCTCCCTCCTTCCCTTCCACTCTCTCTGAAAAGCAATGAAAAGAAATATCCTCAGGTGAGTATTAACAAAAAAAAATTTTTCAACATCCTTCAAAATTAACATCTTTCTGCTGCTCTCGATTGTCTTTATGGGATAGTTTCTATTCTAAAAACAAGTCAGCATAATACTTGGATGTACATGAGATCACTATCATGCCTGTCACTACCCCCTTTAAAAAACATTCTTTTTGTTAACTTTATTGGAAACTTAAGGGGAAAGAAAATGAGGCAACGCCAAACTTTCACACACAACATTCTGTTTCTTCTTGGTAACATGCAAGGAAGTCAACCAAAAAACACATTCCACTGTTAAAAGTTTAAGAAATTCAGCCCCAGCAAACTTGCCAGAAAGAAAACTCAGCCTTATCAATTCTCCAGGAGTAAAAAGTATGACTTCAGCTTCCCAATGTGCTTAAACTTGGGCGTGTGCTTATAAGCCCAAACAAGTAAAATGTTGATTCTAGCTGATGGGCTGAAAGATACACACTTCAAAGCAAAGGCACTTCTCTAGCCCACTTCAAAGCACCCATAGTACCTGAGGGTGAGGTAGCTGAAAGGAATCAAGCTGAGCAGATATTAGTTAATGTGACTGAATCTGACAAGTTGTTTCCTTCATTAAACTTCATTTTTATTTTATTTTTTAAAATATATTTTATTGATTTTTTACAGAGAGGAAGGGAGAGAGAGAGAGTCAGAAACATCGATGAGAGAGAAACATCGATCAGCCGCCTCCTGCACATCTCCCACTGGGGATGTGCCCGCAACCCAGGAACATGCCCTTGACCGGAATCGAACCTGGGACCTTTCAGTCCACAGGCCGACGCTCTATCCACTGAGCCAAACCGGTTTCGGCTGAACTTCATTTTTAAAAAATGTTTTCATTGATTTGGCTGCCCTTTGCACACTCCTACCAGGGATGTTTCTCCCACATTGATGTTTCAATGAAACCCGGGCATGTGCCCAGACCAGCAATCGCACCGAGGACCTTCTGGTGCATGGGATGATGCTCAACCAACTGAACCACACTGGCCAGGGCTAAATTTCATTTTGATTAAAAAAATCCATTCAGAGCCCTGGCTGGTTTGGCTCAGTGGATAGAGCATCAGCCTGCGGACTGAAGGGTCCCAGGTTCGATTCCGGTCAAGGGCATGTACTTTGGTTGCGGGCACATCCCCAGTAGGGAGTGTGCGGGAGGCAGCTGATCGATGTTTCTCTCTCATCGATGTTTCTAGCTCTCTATCCCTCTCCCTTTCTCTCTGTAGAAAATCAATAAAACATATTTTTTTAAAAAATCCATTCAGAGACTATTAAAATATAAACTGCACTACATAAAGTATTTAAAAATAAAGCAAAAATATTGTACAATCAGAAGTCAAACAGGAACAAGATAATTCTCTAAATTGAAAAGAGCTTGTAGAAATAAAAATAAAAATATAATTTAAAAAGAGGAAAAAGAGATGAATAAAAAATTTGAAGAACTATGTATGTGAAGACAGTTATCTCATTCAAAGAAAAATAATTAAAATGGCAATGTTTATGATTGTTTAACCGCTATGGGGTCCACCTGAAACTAATACAAAATATTAAATGTAAACTGTAATTTAAAATAAAATATAAAAAATAAACAATTGTGCAGCTGAAAAAAAACACACACCCAGCAATGTTTTTCACCAAGAGCACTTCCAACGAAGTAATAATACTCAGGTTGACTGGCTGCAGGAGAACAGGCACTCTCTGAAGAATGCTGCAGAGTCCTAAGCCAGTACAATCTCTTTTGACAGTAATTTGTCAATAACTATCAATTTTAAGCACATCTCTATTGATCCAGCAATATCACCGCAAAGACTTTATCCTGATGTACCAGCAAAAGTATGAGTGTTTGTTGCAACGTTAATCTTAACAAAGGAGCACTCACTATGTGTCACTTTTCAAAATGCTGGAAAATGTGGCGTGAACGTCCCTGTTCTCATTTGTAAATGTAAGGAAATGTAAAAAAATATATGTATTTTTAAAAAATAATCTATGTTTGCCCTAACTGGTTTGGCTCAGTGGATAGAGCGTCGGCCTGCGGACTCAAGGGTCCCAGGTTCGATTCTGGTCAAGGGCATGTACCTTGGTTGCGAGCACATCCCCAGTAGGGAGTGTGCAGGAGGCAGCTGATCGATGTTTCTCTCTCATCGATGTTTCTAACTCTCTATCCCTCTCCCTTCCTCTCTGTAAAAAAAATCAATAAAAAATATACATATTTAAAAAATAATAATAATCTATGTTCGATGACATGACCCGGTTAAATAATAACACAGGCACATGGAATATTATTTAATTTTCAAAATAATTTGCTAAGTGTGTGTGTGCTGATATGGAAAGATCTTCAAAGATTTCTGCAACATGGTCCCATCAGTGTAACACAAATGGACGTTACTGTCCTGATACCAGGATTTTCCGAAGTTTAAGAAAATCTGTATAAACACTTTCGAGCCCCAGGTTCTACTGGCCACAGCCAACACCCGCCGGTGGCCGGCGCAGCCGCCCTGGTGCTCTCTCCAGAAAGGCTGTGCAGCCCCGCGGCCGCTCCCTGCCCCCGA